AAAGTGATCGAGGATTTTGTTTCTGATAATGACCTTTGCATCTTTAATGATGACTCAGACACTTACTTACACCCTGCAACTGGTACGTATTCATCATTAGATCTGTCTTTGACGGATTCCGTTTTGTTAAATGAATTCTCATGGTCCGTCCATGATGACCTATGTGGGAGTGACCATTTCCCCACGGTGCTTAAGCCCATTAATCCCGCTGATGATCCACCTTCACCTCGATGGAATTTTGTGAAGGCTGATTGGCTTTTATTTCAATCTTTATGCAAAGATAAATTAAAACCTACGTCTTTTCAGAATGTTACTGACCCGATTCAGTTGTTTTCAGTTCAAATGAATGAAATTGCTGATGAATCAATTCCTAAGTCCTCTGTCAACCCACGTGTTCGTAAACCTTGGTTTGATGCTAATTGCAAACAAGCTAGGAAATGTCGTAAGAAGGCGGAGAAGTACTTCCGTAAACATCCCACTGTCCATAATTTAAATACTGTTAAAATTTCAAATGCCAAGGCTAGACGTCTATTTAAGCAAAATAAACGTCAATCCTGGCAGACTTATGTCTCAAAAATTAACTCTCGTACCCCTATGTCCAAGGTATGGAACATGATAAAAAAGATCAAAGGCAAGGGATCCAATTCTACAGTTAACCATCTGAAGGATGGCGATACTTTGTTAACTGATAAATCTGCCATTGCCAATAGCATTGGGGAAACTTTATCTCATCATTCTTCCTCATCTAATTACGCTCCTGAATTTCAAAAATATCAGCTCCAACAGGAAAAGAAAAAAGTAAATTTTACATCTGATAATGGTGAAGATTACAATGAGGTATTTTCACTACATGAGCTATATACTGCCCTAGGGCAAGCTCATGATACAGCAGCAGGCGCTGATAATATTCATTATCAGCTACTGAAACACTTGCCCGAATCATGCCTTGAAACTTTGTTGACTATATTCGATGACATTTGGACATCTGGGACGTTTCCAACTTCATGGCATAATGCCATTGTTATACCAATACCCAAACCTGGGCGGGATCATTCTGATCCATCGAATTACCGACCTATCTCACTAACTAGCTGTGTTTGTAAAACGATGGAACGCATGGTAAATAATCGATTAGTGTGGTACTTGGAAACAAATAATCTTCTTACCAATATACAATGCGGTTTCCGGAATAACAGAAGTACTATCGATCATTTAGTGCGTTTAGAATCGTTCATTAAAAATTCCATTGTAAATAGACAACATGCTGTATCGATCTTTTTCGATTTAGAAAAAGCTTACGATACAACATGGAAACATGGTATTTTAAAAGATCTTCATGATTTTGGATTAAGAGGCCGACTGCCTCATTTTATATCCCAGTTTTTAACAGACAGGCAATTTCAAGTCCGAGTGGGTACAACCCTGTCTGATCATTATAATCAGGATCAGGGTGTCCCACAAGGCAGTATTTTGTCTGTCACTCTATTCAGTATAAAAATTAACAGTTTGTCAAAAGTTTTAAATGATTCAGTTGATGGATCACTTTTTGTGGATGATTTTAATCTATCTTGCCGGGGTAAAAATATGCACACAATTGAAAGGCAATTACAATTATGTCTTAATAAAATTAACAAGTGGTGTCTAGAAAACGGGTTTAAATTTTCCAGATCAAAAACTAATTGCATACATTTCTGCCGAAAATATAAACCGCATAAGGACCCTGAACTATTTCTGAATGGCACCCCTATCAAAGTTGTTAAGGAAGCCAAGTTCTTGGGACTTATTTTTGATCATCACTTAACTTTCCTCCCGCATATTAAATACCTAAAAGCTAAATGCCTGAAGGCACTCGATCTATTGAAAGTTGTTTCTAATTCAAAGTGGGGAGGGGATCAAACAACCCTCTTACACTTATACAGGTCACTCATCCGTTCAAAACTTGATTATGGCTCCTTCGTCTATGGTGGAGCCTGTAAAAGTAATTTTAAAAAACTTGATATGATACATCATCAGGGCCTGAGGCTTTGCCTTGGTGCCTTCAGGACGTCTCCAATTCACAGTCTATATGTAGAAGCGGATGAACCTTCTCTTAAACAACGCCGTCTAACATTATCTTTACAATATGTCACTAAATTATATTCTAATCAGTCCAATCCAGCTTTTAATTGCGTCTTCAATCCTCTTTACCAAGATATGTACAATAAAAAGTCATCTCTTGTTCCACCTCTCGGAATCAGAATCCAGTCTGCCTTGTTTGCTTCCAATATTAAACTGCAAGATATAGCTCCAACTCAACTGTTTTCAACACCTCCTTGGCAAATGGTACGGCCAGAGGTTGACCTTACATTAACAAAACTAAAGAAATCAGACACTAACGAATTAATTTACCAACAAGAATACAGTCAATTAAGAAACAATTATGACACTTATAAATCTATCTTTACAGATGGATCCAAGGATGGTGGCGCAGTTGCTAGTGCCACCGTCATTGGATCCAGAACAATATCTTCACGTTTACCTGATAACAGTTCCATATTCACTGCAGAAGCAAACGCCATTTTTACAGCACTTAAATATATCAGTAATCAAGCTAAACATAAACAATTCATACTGTTTTCAGATTCTCTTTCATGCCTTCAGGCAATTAAAAATATGTCATCAAAACATCCACTTTTAATCGAAATTCTCGAATTATTTAATGATCTTGCTACTGGCCAATATGACATCGTCTTTTGTTGGTTACCAAGCCATGTTGGTATCATTGGTAACACAATGGCCGATGCTGCTGCAAAAGCAGCCCTCAACAAATCTGTGACACCACTTCTGATCCCATACACTGATTTTAAACCCATGATTCGAACTTACATCCGAGATCTTATGCAACAGAAGTGGGCCGCCCAAGTAGGTATCAATAAATTACATGAAATTAAACCAAATATCGGTTACACCTACTTGGGCTGTCAGTCCAGATTTGAAGAGGTCATTATGCGACGATGTCGTATTGGCCACAGCAGATATACGCACGAATATTTATTACAAGGTGAGGATCCTCCGTTTTGTATCCCTTGTGATGAAAGAATCACGGTCAAGCATGTCCTGCTTGACTGTGTTGATTTTTCCATCACAAGGGATAAATATTTCAATGTAAAAACAATTAAGGACCTTTTTAATGATGTTAATTCTCGTTTAATATTATGTTTTTTAAAGGAAATAGAACTTGTTCATAAATTTTGATGTGTTCAATGTATTGTTTTAAAAATTGGTAGTGCGAAATTCATAACTTAGATTGTTAGTGGCTGTACCCTTGAGGGGGGTTGAAGTAGCGTAAAATTATTGTCCCCCTAAGAGGGTGTGTAAGTCCCAAATCATTCGAAGTATTTTTCTGCACACTAGGCTTTTAAACGTAGTATCTTCATTATTTTAATCTAAGGCTTAACTGGTACACTGTCGCCAGTGACTGAAGGGATGATATAAATCCTGCCGGGGTCCATGCAGGAAGCAAAAGTACTGTAAGTCCCCATGGTCCCCAGTATGGTGATCTCCCTTCAGTTGCTGACGATTTCTAGCCCATTTTTAAATTGTGGTGTTCATTAATGCTTACTGCCTTTTAATATTCTCAACTAGTTTTAAATCAAGTCTGTGATATTCTAGTTATTCTACTGTCCTTCGTTGACAGCTTTTTATTCAGTTTAAATATATGTATCATAAATGTATCATAAATGTAATTTCTCGTCACGATATGGCTGAAATATTGCCCATGTGACGTTAAATAATAACTCACTCACTCACTCACTCTCTCAAGTCAAAGTGTCAAGTAAAAGAAAATGCAGCGTTGTCAGCATAATATTACTCCTGACGTCTGTTAACTGTTTATGGTCCAAACTCCACTCGTAAACAATTAGTAATCAAGTTTGTATAAATTATTTACTTTAATTGCGCACACGTGTGGTTTAAGGCAATGGGTACAACATTGATATAGTCAGAAAATCCGTAATAAACACGTTAAAAAAACTATAAGTTTCAAGAAGCAAATAGCAGCTCTTAACAATCAATCGATCACGTTCATCACCGAGGTGATGATACCAGGTGTTTGCGAAAAGGGGATCGTATCCTGGCCCACCTGTGGCACCCTTGACAAACATATGTAAAGGCAGGTCAAATGTTCACCTGAAAAAAAAACACGGGAACATATGGCACGCCAGAAACCTATGATTGTTGGTTCGAATCCCGGTATGTTTCTAGGTTTGTCAGTACCATACCCGTGCTCGTGGGTTTCACCGAAGTGGTAAAGGTCTGAGACCTGCATCACCTCGGGCTTTCCTCACACATTAAACTGACACGTCGCGATATAACTGGAATAGTGTTAAAAGCGGTGTCAAACCCAACTCACTCACTCACTCAGAACAACCCGGGGTGTTTCGTGAAAGCTCCAAACTGTGTTTATAATGGATCGACACTACCAAGGGCACACACAGGTCAGTTTTAGTTTAAATCTTGCAATGATCCGCATGTCAACGTCCGTGTTGTTGTGTTGCATTGTGGGATACATCGAAGATGTGCGCCATTTTGGACTTCAAGCTGCCACGCCGTGAATGCACTGGAATACTTCCAAAATTGCTTTCAAAACACTCACTCTCTCTACATAACATATGCACAAAATGTGTCTCTCCCGTGTGTTTTTTCTAAATAATCCTAACATATCTATATGTTGCTATATCGATGTTTACCTGTTCCGTGTCGTCGCGAACGGCGTTCAGCTTCGGAAAATATTTGATCGGTGTAAAAGTAGGAAAAATTAGGGAAGTGTTTAGAGTGTAGTTCTATTGTGCAGCTGTGGCTATTGCCAGGCTCAAGACGTGTTTTAATATCATACCAAGAGAATTGAAGTGGCAATTATTGTATCATATGTGGGCGACACGACGAGACGCATCACCACAATGACGCTGCTTAAAAGCTCTGAATAATCTACAGTGCATTGTGTCACATCAAGAATGTGAATGATTAGCGCTATTCACCCTGTGTATTCACTCGCTCAATGCATGAACATAAATATAACGATTTATACAAGAACGGTTAATAGTCATGTTGTTGTCAGTGGCAACAACATCTAAGGCTGTATGAATGTGTGTAGTGCTTAAACAGCCAAGTACACTAAAGGTCGTTCATATTCTCAGCATCTTGCAAGGAGCCGAGTTGTTTCATCCAGGCTAGTCCGGGATACCAAAATAACTGTCGCTGGAACTAAGAAAAAGACATAATTTTAATTTCAATATGGAAACAGACGTTTGTGGTATAATGTTTTGTCTTGCGAGTCTGCTGAGTGGTACTGGCAACGGTGCCTGCTTGGAGAGCATGAACATGGCACCATCGTCTCTGTACCGCAGCAAGAAAGTGTCTGGAAGTGTGAAAATATCCAAAACTGTAGCCAATGTAGCAGAATGCAGCTCTCATTGTGTGGTAACAGGGTACAAGATTTCTTTCATCTTTGACCCCAACACCACGCTGTGTACGTGTCATACGTTGCCACTGGCGTCGCTGTCGTTGGTGCCAGCAGCAGGAGCGGTGGCCTTTGGACATGAAACACTTCCGGCTGGTAAAGTATTGAACCGAATTTCTCTCTTAACATGCGCCTGCGTGTCTGGGTTTCTATGGGTTCGACTGTTTGTCTGCTCGTGCAGCATGTTGTGGTAATATATATTTACTGAACTGTTGGCTAAACAAGGATGATGATGATGATGAGTGAGGGAGTGACTGAGTATGGTTTTACGCCGCTTTTAGCAATATTCCAGCAATATCACGGCGGGGGACACCAGAAATGGATTTCACACATTATACCCATGTCGGGTTTCGAACCCGGGTCTTCGGCGTGACGAGCGAACGCTTTAACCACTAGGCTACCCGACCGCCTCTGATGATGATGATGATGATGATGATGATGATGATGATATCTTTCCATGGAATTTGCCATAAACAGTCCATTAGTTCCGTAGAAATGGTTTCTAAAGAGAATGAGTGTAGTATACGCTAAGTATTGGTTATCTGACGTGCAGAGAGTCGTTGATAATCCATAAAAATAGCATGTATTTTATCAACATTGTAAAATGCCATACTGACTTCAGAAAATGCGTGATTTCATAAAAAAAACCATGAACATGCCAAAATGTCAATCTACAAATCAATAGCGTGTGTGTCCACCTCTGTTTGCGATATGAGCAACACATCTTCGTCTCATGGAATGGACCAGGCGTCGCACAAAGTCCTGTGGGATAGCTGTCCATATCTGCTGGAGCATGTTTCGAAGTTCCTGGAGTGTATGTGGAACACGTGGTTGATCCATCTCATCCCACATGTGCTCGATTGGTGAGAGATCAGGGGAGCGAGCCGGCCAGGGAATGACTTTCACGTTGTTTTGTTGAAGAGAATTCTGAACAAGTCGCGCAATATGAGGACGGGCGTTGTCATGTTGAAAGGTAATGCCTGGGCCATGACGACGCCAAAACGGTAGAACAACAGGGCCGATGATCTCGTCGCGGTAGCGCTGTCCATGGGGATTTCCCTCTACCACTATCAAACGGGTCCTCTGTCTTGCTGTAATCCCACCCCATACCAAAACGCTGCCGCCCCCGAACCAATGTTCTTCTCTGACACAATGATCGACGTAACGTTCACCTCGACGTCGGTACACACGAATCCGTCCATCGCTGTGGCTGAGGTGAAAACGAGACTCGTCAGTGAATAGAACTTGTTCCCACTGCATGGCCGTCCAGCGTAGACGCTGTCTGCACCGCTGTAGACGTGCTTGACGGTGGTTTCCTGTCAAAATGGGACGTCTAGTAAGTCTTCTGGCGGCAATCCCTGCACATCTGATGCGGCGACGTACGGTTGTGAAGATATTCGTTGAAGGCCAGTGATGCTGCTTGCAGCCACTGTTGCTGGCTGGAATCGATTTCGTTAGTGTGTTGTTCGAATCCAGTTGTCTTGTCAATTATTGGTTACGCGTGGCCTGACACTCTGAGGATGGTCTCTGACTGCATTCGTCTGTTGCCAACGTTGCAATAAACACCAAATGGTGTTTCTGTGGACGTTTAATTGTCTTGCAACATCACGTTGACTCGATCCTGCTTCAAGCATACCAATGGCTCGCAGACGCTCATTTTCAAACAGGCGTGGCATTTCGTAATGATGAATAATTGCGTAAATTTGTTGTTTTTCTGAGTGGTTGTTGTCAGCACGATGCTAAACAATGCATATGGAATCCCGTTAACGCACATGTTGTAATACCCATTCTTGGGTAGTGAAATGCATGGGGCTTGCATAAAAGTCACCTTTTGCATGGAATGCATGCTTTTCTGTAGCAGTTGCGTTTTTGTGACTTGATTCCATACATGTACTACAATACTGAAAACCAAACTTTACTTGTTTGAAAAATACACTAAAATATTGGTGTCACAGGAACTTTTGTTGTTGAGTATATATAAGGGAAGAAAACTACATTCGTTAGCCATCATATCCCGCTGACGACACGTTTTTCGTGAAATTGCTCCACCTGATGGACATATTAAGTATGCGGGAAGATCTTTATTAAAGCATATTATGGTATTATTCAATGCTACCATGTACTCATGTGTTAGCTTTGCCGGCTTCAAATCTGATGTTTTCCCTGTTAAACAGGGTGTAAGTCAGGGTCGTGTCATATCAGCATGGCTCTTTACTCTTTATATAAACGATTTGCTTCATGAACTAAGCAATTCTGGTTGTGGACTATGTCTCCCATGGGGACGATGCCCAGGAATAGCACACGACACGACCTTGATCAGCTGTAACACAACAGGTCTTCAAATGCTCCTAAACGTTGCAGAAAATTACGGTAACAAGTGGCAGTTAAAATACAATGTGTTCAAAAGTGCTGTCCTAACTTTTGGATGTAGTAAAAAAACAGTGTCGCCTGAACATCTTTACATTGGTAAGATAAAATTACCTGTTCGAAAGGCAATTGTCTATGCGGGAGTGTACATAAGTACTGCTAAAACTTCGGTAGAAAGAACGAGGTTAGTATGTGAAAAACTGAGAAAATTGATAAATGTAAACCATGATTCTGGCCTGTACTTTGATGGACTTAATCCTATAGCCGCCGTGCGCATCTGGCAACGAGTGATATTACCCTGTGACTTATATGGATGTAATGTGTGGGGAAAACTATCCTTAAAGGTATATGAAATGCAAGAAATCACTCAACGCTATTTCTGTCAGAAAATCCAGGGTTTTAATAAACGTATGCCCAAAGAAAAAGAGAGAGACACAATTGGTGTTATATCAGTACAAGGACACATTAATCAACAAAAGCTTTGCTCCTTGGTAAGCTATGTAATTCAAACCTAATATATATTTTCAAACAAATGTTTCTAGCCTGACTTGGACAGTTTAGATATACAACAACACTAGTTAGTAAGAACAAGTGGGACACGAAATCACCTATCTTTAGCATGCTACATCTTGTCTCCAAATATAATTTATCTGACGAGGTTAATGATTATATAATGTGTTCAAGTTTCATCAAGAAACGATTATTGTCAAAACTGGTGACAGAATTACAATTAATAAACAATGCGCTTCTGAGCAGATTATCTCTGTCAAGATATCTAACAATACGATCTGGACGAGAACATAGATTATGGAAACTTGCTCTCGATAGACCAGAATATTTTACTTCCTTAGCTAGAATAGTTCGCTTAGGTTCAATGCCAATAGAATCAAAGGAATGTATTTGTGGAACAGTTGCGAATGATATAGTGAAACACGTTTTCATGTCATTTCAAAAGAATTTAGAAGAAAGAAATATCATATATGATAAAATCATTGATTTGCTTGATGTTAAAATATTCGTGAGAATCTGGGCAGACGGTGATACCTTTCTGACTTTTCTGCTTGGCGGTTTACCTGAACAACCTGGAGTTGAATTAGACTACAACGTATGGGCAGAGAGCATGATAAATATCGGTGGTGCAGTTAAAAAGTGGGATGAAGTCATCCGAAGCTGCTTATACTAAACGATGTATGTATTGTAAACAAGTGTACATTTGTAAATAGCACATGCTATTTGTCCATCTAATAACACAAATAATCAATATGATACATATGTATATGAACTACTTCTGACATATATGTAATATACATATATATGTGTGTGTGCACATTAATACTATAGATGTTGTCCTTTCACTGTATACCCTGTACTGTTCATGAAATGGAGAGAATAAAGAAGATCTATCTATCTATCATGGTAAAATATAAAGGAGCTATGATGTTTTGGTTTGTTGTTTTACGCCGCGGTGAGCCACGATGTACAGCGATAGAAAGGTAAAGGTTACAATAGGTTGAAGTTCAGTTTTCGAAACATTTGTTTCTCATTTTTGCTTCCGTTGTATATTCCCAAGAAAATACCATGTCAAATTTGTAAATACCTTTGTCCGAGACTGGCCACAGAGCGGAGAGTTTCTGGACAAATGGGTTTCCGGTTGGTAGTTCTCTATGTTTTTTTCAGATGTGGTGGACACGTGGATCACCTCCATCATCGACTTCTCCTCGTCCTACTACTCGTGAGTTGTTTCTTATTGATGTATTTTGTCGAAATGATACTCTGAACGAAGCTTTATGGCGAGCTACAACCTGAACCATCAGGCCACCAAACCATCGACACAGTTTCTTTGAGAGGCATTTAGAAGTTGGAGCACTAAGTAAGGATAAGAATTTATGGATGAACAACTTCTTCAGGTAATGCCTGGGCCATGACGACGCCAAAACGGTAGAACAACAGGGCCGATGATCTCGTCGCGGTAGCGCTGTCCATGGGGATTTCCCTCTACCACTATCAAACGGGTCCTCTGTCTTGCTGTAATCCCACCCCATACCAAAACGCTGCCGCCCCCGAACCAATGTTCTTCTCTGACACAATGATCGACGTAACGTTCACCTCGACGTCGGTACACACGAATCCGTCCATCGCTGTGGCTGAGGTGAAAACGAGACTCGTCAGTGAATAGAACTTGTTCCCACTGCATGGCCGTCCAGCGTAGACGCTGTCTGCACCGCTGTAGACGTGCTTGACGGTGGTTTCCTGTCAAAATGGGACGTCTAGTAAGTCTTCTGGCGGCAATCCCTGCACATCTGATGCGGCGACGTACGGTTGTGAAGATATTCGTTGAAGGCCAGTGATGCTGCTTGCAGCCACTGTTGCTGGCTGGAATCGATTTCGTTAGTGTGTTGTTCGAATCCAGTTGTCTTGTCAATTATTGGTTACGCGTGGCCTGACACTCTGAGGATGGTCTCTGACTGCATTCGTCTGTTGCCAACGTTGCAATAAACACCAAATGGTGTTTCTGTGGACGTTTAATTGTCTTGCAACATCACGTTGACTCGATCCTGCTTCAAGCATACCAATGGCTCGCAGACGCTCATTTTCAAACAGGCGTGGCATTTCGTAATGATGAATAATTGCGTAAATTTGTTGTTTTTCTGAGTGGTTGTTGTCAGCACGATGCTAAACAATGCATATGGAATCCCGTTAACGCACATGTTGTAATACCCATTCTTGGGTAGTGAAATGCATGGGGCTTGCATAAAAGTCACCTTTTGCATGGAATGCATGCTTTTCTGTAGCAGTTGCGTTTTTGTGACTTGATTCCATACATGTACTACAATACTGAAAACCAAACTTTACTTGTTTGAAAAATACACTAAAATATTGGTGTCACAGGAACTTTTGTTGTTGAGTATATATAAGGGAAGAAAACTACATTCGTTAGCCATCATATCCCGCTGACGACACGTTTTTCGTGAAATTGCTCCACCTGATGGACATATTAAGTATGCGGGAAGATCTTTATTAAAGCATATTATGGTATTATTCAATGCTACCATGTACTCATGTGTTAGCTTTGCCGGCTTCAAATCTGATGTTTTCCCTGTTAAACAGGGTGTAAGTCAGGGTCGTGTCATATCAGCATGGCTCTTTACTCTTTATATAAACGATTTGCTTCATGAACTAAGCAATTCTGGTTGTGGACTATGTCTCCCATGGGGACGATGCCCAGGAATAGCACACGACACGACCTTGATCAGCTGTAACACAACAGGTCTTCAAATGCTCCTAAACGTTGCAGAAAATTACGGTAACAAGTGGCAGTTAAAATACAATGTGTTCAAAAGTGCTGTCCTAACTTTTGGATGTAGTAAAAAAACAGTGTCGCCTGAACATCTTTACATTGGTAAGATAAAATTACCTGTTCGAAAGGCAATTGTCTATGCGGGAGTGTACATAAGTACTGCTAAAACTTCGGTAGAAAGAACGAGGTTAGTATGTGAAAAACTGAGAAAATTGATAAATGTAAACCATGATTCTGGCCTGTACTTTGATGGACTTAATCCTATAGCCGCCGTGCGCATCTGGCAACGAGTGATATTACCCTGTGACTTATATGGATGTAATGTGTGGGGAAAACTATCCTTAAAGGTATATGAAATGCAAGAAATCACTCAACGCTATTTCTGTCAGAAAATCCAGGGTTTTAATAAACGTATGCCCAAAGAAAAAGAGAGAGACACAATTGGTGTTATATCAGTACAAGGACACATTAATCAACAAAAGCTTTGCTCCTTGGTAAGCTATGTAATTCAAACCTAATATATATTTTCAAACAAATGTTTCTAGCCTGACTTGGACAGTTTAGATATACAACAACACTAGTTAGTAAGAACAAGTGGGACACGAAATCACCTATCTTTAGCATGCTACATCTTGTCTCCAAATATAATTTATCTGACGAGGTTAATGATTATATAATGTGTTCAAGTTTCATCAAGAAACGATTATTGTCAAAACTGGTGACAGAATTACAATTAATAAACAATGCGCTTCTGAGCAGATTATCTCTGTCAAGATATCTAACAATACGATCTGGACGAGAACATAGATTATGGAAACTTGCTCTCGATAGACCAGAATATTTTACTTCCTTAGCTAGAATAGTTCGCTTAGGTTCAATGCCAATAGAATCAAAGGAATGTATTTGTGGAACAGTTGCGAATGATATAGTGAAACACGTTTTCATGTCATTTCAAAAGAATTTAGAAGAAAGAAATATCATATATGATAAAATCATTGATTTGCTTGATGTTAAAATATTCGTGAGAATCTGGGCAGACGGTGATACCTTTCTGACTTTTCTGCTTGGCGGTTTACCTGAACAACCTGGAGTTGAATTAGACTACAACGTATGGGCAGAGAGCATGATAAATATCGGTGGTGCAGTTAAAAAGTGGGATGAAGTCATCCGAAGCTGCTTATACTAAACGATGTATGTATTGTAAACAAGTGTACATTTGTAAATAGCACATGCTATTTGTCCATCTAATAACACAAATAATCAATATGATACATATGTATATGAACTACTTCTGACATATATGTAATATACATATATATGTGTGTGTGCACATTAATACTATAGATGTTGTCCTTTCACTGTATACCCTGTACTGTTCATGAAATGGAGAGAATAAAGAAGATCTATCTATCTATCATGGTAAAATATAAAGGAGCTATGATGTTTTGGTTTGTTGTTTTACGCCGCGGTGAGCCACGATGTACAGCGATAGAAAGGTAAAGGTTACAATAGGTTGAAGTTCAGTTTTCGAAACATTTGTTTCTCATTTTTGCTTCCGTTGTATATTCCCAAGAAAATACCATGTCAAATTTGTAAATACCTTTGTCCGAGACTGGCCACAGAGCGGAGAGTTTCTGGACAAATGGGTTTCCGGTTGGTAGTTCTCTATGTTTTTTTCAGATGTGGTGGACACGTGGATCACCTCCATCATCGACTTCTCCTCGTCCTACTACTCGTGAGTTGTTTCTTATTGATGTATTTTGTCGAAATGATACTCTGAACGAAGCTTTATGGCGAGCTACAACCTGAACCATCAGGCCACCAAACCATCGACACAGTTTCTTTGAGAGGCATTTAGAAGTTGGAGCACTAAGTAAGGATAAGAATTTATGGATGAACAACTTCTTCATTACATTGAAGAGCGACGTTTCGGTGTAGGTTCTAACACCGGTGTAGGTTCTCACTTGCTTGATAAAGGGTAGAATATCTGTTAGATAGGAAGGGGCCATATTATGATTACTTTTGCTGAAAAGACAAAGTTTACGTTTCTTTCTGCGCTCAAATGAGGGTTCCCAACCGGTTTCGTAATATAATGAATGCCTTTGGCCATATTTAGGTAGACAAGTTACAATGCGCGCAGCTTCTTATTGTTATTGTTCTAATTTCTCACTTTGTCCTTCGGTGCAACCATCCCATACCTCACATATGTATTCAAAGTGTTGTCTTGTGAACATTTTATACATGTATATATTGTTAATAGTATCTCTGTGAAGTAGATGCTTGACTTTTCACATTGAGTAAATCATCTTGGAAGTTGTTTTGTTATTGTATTTATATGACAAGACCATTTGCCACTGGCTTCAAGTATAACACCCAAGTGCTTATGACTATTTACAGAGCTGATTACACACACACACACACACAGACACACACACACACACACACACACACACACATGCATGCACGTCGCTTAATAAAGGCATTAATCTTTGACGCGACGTTAAACCCCATTTCACCTCACCTCACTTGGTGTTGACAAACTAGGGTTAAAATCGGAAAGAATCGCAAATTGGAACCCACGATCATAGGATCCTTGCACGGACAGACACAATGTCATTACCTCGCAAATATATATATATTTGTAATGCCCATCCATTTACATCATGTACATTTGTCAAGGAAGTGTTGGTCTGCAAAATACAATCAGAAATGCGTTATCTGGCACATGCTAGTGTTTGCATCACAAAGTAGACTCCACTTTGTGTTCAGTATATGAAGCATGACTTGTATAACAGATCTATAGGCGTTTGTAAACTTTTCAAAGTTTGCATTATCGTTTTCAAGTTTGTTTTTTCCTGTTTTTAGACCTTTTGCCTACTACGGTCCGAATAATATGTTGGGAGTGGCGGATTTCTATCCCGAGTATGGCAACACTGACAAAGCCTGGTGCCCTGCACATCGCAACGACGCCCAGTATGTAGAGGTGAGTCAATCAGAACTTTTGTGGAGTGAGTGAGTGAGTTAGTTAGTTAGTTAGTTTAACGCCGCTAATAACAGTATTCCAGTTATATCACGGCGTGTCAGCTCAATGTGGGAGGAAAGCCAGTAGTGATGCAGGTCTCAACTTTGGTGAAACCCACGAGCACGGGTGTGATGCTGCCAAACTTGGAAACATAATATGGACGGACCGTGATTCGAACCCACGATCATAGGTTTCAGGCGCGCACAAAAGGAGCAACTCTCCAGAGCGAATTGCGGCACCTTAGACGTGAACCCGGGACACCAATAAAGGTCTACACACATTGTAACCATGTGAGGAATCGAAATCGGGCTTTCGACTTAACAAGTCAACGCTTCACCTACTGGGCGATCCAATGTCCCGTGAATACATGTCGCTAGATTTCACGTATCGTTGACAGATGTTCCCCGAACTACCATGTTCTAGTCATCAGACCGTCGCCATCGCTCGGTTTATCGTCGTCATCATCATCACCACCACCTCCACCATCATCATCAAAATAGGTGTTGTCATTATTATCATTATTACTGCTTCTCATCAAAACCTCATCATCGTTATTGGTATAATTATTGTTTGTTGTATACAGATTAAAATATACAAAAGCAGTAAAGAGGGTTTGGGTGATGCTGGCACAGTCAGGCTGGTTAGGCTCATCATCACCTCAGGGCCCTTGCCCCCTCTACACGCAGCCCAGACAGGGAATGGGACTTCTCCCAGGTAGCGCTGCCTAGTCACCCACCCACAACTTTTCGGAGAATGTGACGACTCCCCAACACTGCAGCCTTCTGCATTACCCAGATTGTCAGAAGGGCTGTATTACTGGTGGCAAATCAGGGTACTTTCCCACTGTCAGTCAACAGATTGGGGGAGGGGGGGGTACCAAATCTAAGGCACCGAGAACAATGTGGAGTCGGACAACTTGGTACTTGGGATGCAAGCGTGACATTTCGAAAAGGAATTTGCTATGATTTTCTTGAGTCTTGTCTATCACATTAGTGTCAAAAGGGACAAAAAAATCAAAGATATAAATGATTTCATTGGATTTTTTAAAAAGGACCAGATAACGTTTGTTGGTCTGGATAGTTCTGAGACTGTATACGGGCCTCTTCCAAAGAATTTTGTATTTATCATTTTCCACGACGCCCTCCACATATTCTGGGTCGTACCATGGATGGATCTCTGTGTCAAAATCACAAGCATGGCGAGGACGATATGAAAGGATCGAGCCACTCCATCATGTCGCTTAAGATACTATGCCCAAGCTGGGCATCCACTGACGATGTGTTGGACAGTCTCATTAAATTAATTGCATAATCTACATTTTATATTTACATTTTGATGCAAAATCACAAATTGACGGTTTCGAGTGCGAAGTGACTGATCCCGAGCTGAAACAGAAAGCCTTCTGTATCACTTTTAAGGCCGACCGACTTCATCCAAGCGAAAGACTCTGCATGGTTGCTGATCTTCTCAACACATTGCACACAGACTCGATCCTGTGGTCGTTCAGAAAGCCTGAAAAAATTAGACCGGACACTTCGCTTGGTTGACACTCATATATCTGTAGCGTCCAGCAGTACGAAACCATCAAGAAAGTCAACATTGACATTGAGATTATGTCCTACATCCATGGCTTGGTTAAGGAAACTGTGGAATCCCTTGTTTTCACCATGAGTCTTGACATGCTTCAGAAAAGATCATCAGATAAATAAAATTGTGCCAATACAATTCTATCATGAAGAGTCTCCACGTTATATCATTATTAGTGTTGTTGTTGTCATTATTAGTGTTGTTGTTGTCATTATTAGTGTTGTTGTTGTCATTATTAGTGTTGTTGTTGTTATTAGTGTTGTTGTTGTTGTTATTATTATTATTATTATTAATTTTATTATTATTATTACATGAAAGTTGCTTCAGTCAAGTCGTCCCTATTTATATATTATATAACTAAGTTATGCAGAAGTAGATAAGGGGAATGAATACCATGTGCTCCACAGCTCGGCATCTCAGAACCTATCTACATCACTGAAATCCACATCTATGAGGTTTTCAAGTGCGGTGGCGTGAAGTCTCTTTCTGTCCGGGATCCGAACTCCAACTGGATGGTGCTGTGGAGAACACCTGCTATAGAGCTAATAGAAACCTCTCGGATCTTAATCCCAAACTTCATGGTGTGTATAAATCTGGTTGAATATTTTATTACTCGTATCGGTTGACCTGGGTTGGATTCCCCACACAGGTAAGTGAGATATCCGGGGTAGAATAGGTCTTTAGCAACCCATGCTTGCTGTAAAACGCGACTATGCTTGTCGTAAGAGGCGACTAACGGGACCGGGTGTCAGACTCGCTGACCTGGTTGACGCGTATCATCGTATCCCAATTGCGTGGATCGATGTGCATGACGTCAATCACTGTATTGTCTGGTCTAGACTTCATTATTTACAGATCGCCGTCATATAGGTGGAATATTGCTGAGTGCGGCGTTAAACAACAAACAAACAAAACAAGGTGTGAAGCATATTTCTGGTGTTGTGATGAAGCTTGCATAATGTTATTAGCGGCGTAACCCCACCCCCAACCCAACCCTCCCACCCGAATAATGAGGTGCGGGTGGACAAAATGGTGACCTGACCAAAGTCGTTGATCATTGGATCAATTCATAACTGGTGTGCCTGATTCAGTAACTGATTTTCTCATTGGTCCATTTATTTAATTTCCACAGCTCTTTTGCCCTTCCCGCCAAATGGAATCGCTTTCGGCGGATAATCTAGACTGGCTATTCTCTTGGTTGATATTAGCATAATGGCCCGTGAAGATCCGGGTTAGAAGTTCGACAATGTTTGTCGTAGGAGGGTACTATGCTTGTCGTAAGAGGCGACTAACGGGATCGGTTGGTGAGACTCGGTGACTTGATGATGTATGTCACCGTGTCCTAATTGCGTATATCGATGCTCATGATGTCAATCCCAAGAGTGTCTGGTCGAGACGCGAATATTTACAGACCGATGTCATATAGCTGGAATATAGCTTAGTGCGGCGTTAAACAACAAACAAAGAAAACAAACTTACTTATTTCGTGATGTAGCTGGAACTCTGCACATTGTGACGTAAACAACCTTCACTCACACCCTGGCAGTTGATAAATGATTCCCGAAATTGCGCATCTGCTTCTTCATGTTTACAAGTCAGAATGGCTGGCAAAATCAAAACAAAGTAGAAGTTTAACTAAAGCTGCAGGCACATGGAAGACTGTTCAATAACGGTCAAATAATCAATCCGTCCACTGATTTACCCACCTGAACTAGAAATAGAGGAGGCCAGCGATACCGACTCATCTGTTTCAAATTAAACTTAGATCCATGCCTAAAGACTATCAGTGACAAAAACCTACCCACAAGTCTGTATGATAGAGTGGATGCCTACAAAGTTCCAAATGTCAACTTTTATTTTATGTCGAGCAACATTCTCGAACACCCTTAGAGATGTCAAATAGCGTCAAAAGATCTTAAGGTCTTAGAATGATCACGAGGACATATGCCAAAAGTTAAGACCGAGGGCCGATAGCCGATGTGTTACTTTTCTACGCTCAGGTCTTATTACTCGCATCAAGACCGAATTCGAGGTCGTCAACCGACTTTTCAACGACATCTTCTTAGACTGATTCACACATTAATCAAATATGTTGTATACATTTCACACCCACCCCTGTATAAGATGGGCTTATGTTAGCGTGTTCAGCATCTGCATTGCAGGTGCGCACGTGTCAGAGAGTGTCTGCTCCTTTAGTGAAGGTGTTCCTTTGAAGTATATTTCTCCACAGGAAATATTCCTAGGGGACATTTTGTTGCTTGGATAATCAATCCACGGTACGTTTACACTGGCAATATTGGTTCTAGTTCGAACTAATTCCACATGGAACTGATCATCGTTGACAGATGTTGTAACAAAACCATGTGCTTAGTGAACCTGCCCCGGTGGTTAAGTGGCAAAACACTGGGTTACTATTAACAAGTTATGAGAGGTTTCATGATCGATTCCTCGCATTTGTGTTTCATATAAAAGAAATATTGACTTTTAACCAGTCAAAACATTAGGTTGGTATAGTTCAAAAGTAAGACAGGTCTTATTTATGATTCACTAGTAAAACCTGAAAGCAGGTCTTACTTGGAAAGTAAAACCACCCGATGTTTATTCAAAGTGTCTTCCGGTGTCAACTTGGTTGAGTTTAAGGCCTTGCCCAAATTAGAAAACCGAAATAAAGCAATTGGATGATGTCATTTGAGATTCATATTTCATATAATTTTAATTTTGTTTTGTCTTTTGCGCCCAATGGAATCTGTTTCGTTGGATAATCGAAACTGGCTATTGCCTGGCGTTGACGCTTTGTATTTACGAGACCGAAGTAAAGCTTTCAAACGGTACCTGTTCATTTACACTTACAGACGGTTAACCCATACAGCCATTCTTTTCTTGGCAGCTTCAACGTTGATGTGTGGGAAGTGTATCTTTTGGCAAAAAAAATGGTATATCTATTTTCATGTCCTGAAATATATATGTTCTGTGATTCAGGGATACGTCAGATATGTTCACAATTGTATACTTTTAATCTTGAAATTAATGCGTCTCCAAATTAATACGACCCAGCAAAAATGCGACTCAGAATCAATGCGACTCTCCTCAGTGGAATGATACATATCCTCACAGTAAATTGCACCGCTTATTTGCACTGAGTAAAGCACTTCCGTCATAACAATAAACAGTGTTTTCTTAAAAAACAACATACAGTATATTGTTATAGTAAACCGATTAACGGTTGTCCGAAGCTAGGCGGTGGGATCAGCTGATCGTAAATTTCAGGTCGCATTGTTAACGTTCTAAAATCAGTATTTAAAGTGTTAGTATTGGTGTATCTATATGGAAGTCATGTTATTTCCGGTTAGGCTGTATGCAAGCATTGCAATACAACGGCTAGGTGATGGTGCGCGTGAATGTGAAGGTCTTTGAAGCAAGCTTTCTGAAGTTGGTCAGAAAATTTGGACTTATGACAGCAACACGTGTATGGTGTTGGTATATTACTGAGAGTGACTGAGTGTGGTTTTACGCCGCTTATAGCAATATTCCAGCAATATAATTGCGGGGGACACCAGAAATGGGATTCACAAATTGTTCCCATGACGGAAATCGAACCCGGGTCTTCGGCGTGACGAGCGAAAGCTTTAACCACTAGGCTACCCGACCGCCCCTTATTACTGAGATGAGGGAAGGATGTTCATGAAATTGTAAAAGAAACAGGTAAGTACCTCCACTACCTTTTTTAAAAGCATGAATATTAGCATGTTATAAATACAAATGGATTAATTATTTGTTACATGTCGATTCCCAAATTGAAACGATTCCTAATATGTTAACCTAGAAATCTGTACGAAAAGGAATTTTGTGAAACCAACAAACAACCAACGAATTGTATACAATCAACAATTGTATTAAAAAATTAATGAAATTAAATCAATACAAATAACTGCACAGCAATTACAATGACAGTACACAATAGAGTGGTAGTACAATATTCAATGACAGTTTATAATTTGAGAGCAGTGGAAATTACAATGACAAGAATAATGATCTCCTAGCCACAACAATGGCCAAACTTCCGATTCAGGCCTAGGCCCAGGGTGAAAAGTGATCTTCACACGGAAGCTGGTCTTGATGTAATGTCAGATGAAATGTGTGATGACAGGCACGTACCCTCTCCACTTATATAGTCTATACATGTTTCTTGAATGCTTGACCTCCTTCCACGCTGTTCCGGAAGTTTACAGATAATTCTAGCATCTAAATATAATACTTCCTTACCACTGCTACAATCATTGTTTTTAACAAAACATTACACTGCGATATAACATAATTTACACCTGTGATGACTTAGAGCAGTATATAATGGACACATGTTATAAGGGACAAAATAATATGGCTACATAGTATATTTCAAACTATGAAGACTGGTATGGTTGATAAAATCATTGTAGATTTCCATTGGCTATATTTGTAATTATTGTCAGAGTTTATAAAATTTAAATTAGATGTAAAAGGAAATGTAACATTTATAAAATCAGTGCTCTTATTCTGCACGTTATTTCTTCTTCAATTTTTAGTAAAGGCCTATCTCCGCATGTACTACATACAAGTAAACGGTTGTATGAAAGCTTCAATAGTTTTATAGTGGGAAATAACACAAAGGCGGACACAATAAAGTGAGACTGCATTCCTTACGATGCCAGATGTCTCGTTGTTTTCTGACGTAGAAAAGGCCGGGACAATACCCAAATATTCTTGAGCCTTTCCCCTTCATATTCCATCGTGCACATTCGTGTTAAACTTGCACGCCGAACACATGTTGCCATGGTAAACAACTACAAGACACGTGCTGGTTAAAACTTTCAGTAGTAAACGACCGTTTTTGAATGAAGGTGCAACCGGGAACCGTTTCAACTTAGCTCATCCTCCACATGTCACAAGTTTTGTATTTGTTTTTGGGTGCTTTTTTTAATATATTTATTTCAATTGAGTAGACATAAATGTAACATTGGTACATTAGGTAAATAAGTGAAGGAATTCATAGTATCTTAAAACATGATCAGATAGCGGTGCATACATATATTGGACTGACTGATAAATTATATTAAGTAGACTGATAATTCCGTCTATTTTCTGTCGAATTTATAATTTTACTATTTTTCATTGCAATATATTATTCTTTTTTACATACGTCTTTCAATATTTTTATGAAGAAAGGAAAACATAATGGAGTTTTCTTAATGCTTGACTGGTGAATGTATTCTTTTGCAAGAAGAATTATATGGTTGAAAAGATATTTGTTTTTGTTGTAGCAAAATATTTTACCTAGAATGGTAATATGAATATCATATGCAAGTTTCGAGTTTAGGTACGCTTCAATTTCTATCATGTCACATGTCGCAGCGCACATTGAGCAGGGAACCAGCTTCGACTGTCGCTTAAATCAATTTTAAAGGAGAGTTATCGCCCTTTTGGACAGAAAGACCACCCACTCAAACCTAAAATTTTGCTGTGAGAACTCGCAAAAAATTACACCCACCCCCCAAAAAAACAAACATATCTAATTCTTTTGTTAAACAGAACCTCACTTGAAAACCCTACCAACAAGTCACAAAGAATATATTTAATTTGTATCTGTCCTAAAATGTGTTCGTCTTTTACACCTAGCCTCCAGCCTTCACGTCCGACGCCATAAGGATTGACCTTGACCTTGGCACCGCCAACGCTTGGTCCGAGTTCGACGCCGTCCGAGTGGTTGGTACCAGGATACGTACACGTGACGGCCTGGCAGTGACAACATTCATAATGTAGTTCCTCAAGAACTGTGAATTGGAGATTTGGAAAGAACACTAACGCACGTTGACGTCATGGACACGTTGAATGTCGTCACTGGAACAGGACCTTTTGTATATATTGACTACAGTGTAGCCTCATTAAGTCAACTGTTACCATAAGGCGCTGTGAAAGAAAAATATAATTTTACTTTCACAAAGGGAAATACGATATTTGAATGGTTTTGTTGTATTTCAATATTCGTCAAAAGCCTCTCTTCAGACAAGTGTTATATACATCTAGTGAGTGAGTATGGTTTTACGCCGCTTTTAGCAATATTCCAGCAATATCACGGCGGGGGACACCAGAAATGGGCTTCACACATTCTACCCATGTCGGGAATCGAACCCGGGTCTTCGGCGTGACGAGCGAACGCTTTAACCACTAGGCTACACGACCGCCCCGTTATATAGATCTAACTTATTGACTTACATATACGGTATGTATGTTTTTGTTTCATGTTTATGTATATGAATGTCAAATTCACTGATGCCACACTCCTGTTATGACAAGAAACTCTGAAGGAGACACCGACAGCATATAGGGAAATACGATATTAATGTATCTACCTTGACCGGGAGATGTTTCACATCCTAGGTACCTGTAGCTGATACGTTCTATAGGGGCATCTTAACTCTTAGTCGCGACCAGGATGATGTTGTGTACTTGCATTTTTGCCCGTGAAGATCCAGGTTAGAATAGGTCTTCAGCAACCTATGCTTGTCGTAAAAGGCGACTATGCTTGTCGTAAGAGGCGACTAACGGGATCGGATGGTCAGGCTCGCTGACTCGGTTGATGCATGTTATCGAACCCGAATGGGTAAATCGAGGCTCTTGACATCAATCACTGGATTGTCTGGTCCAGACTCGATTATTTACAGACCGCCGTCATATAGCTGGAATATTGCTGAGTGCGGCGTTAAATAACAAACAAACAAACAAACCTTGCATCCTGGCAGTCTGACTTGTGGCCACTGTTTGTAATAACTACATGACAAAACACTGTGACAAACTAAGTTGTATTGAGTTGCCTCCCTTAGGCGTATCAGGACCATGTGATCGTGGGTTCGAATTTGCCTAGAAATTGATCATTGGTTTGTTTGAACATACATGAGGGGATAGTTCCTTATACCGTCATCCGGCTTGATAACGGTTTCGGGATCAATGCCGAAACGTCGCTATTGCAGTGAATTTGTTTTCCATTATCTTTTTGTCTACTTTGTCAACCGTCAACCCCTACGAAAGGCCTATCAAACAATTCATGTATTAGAGTAGTGAGTGAGTTGGGTTTAACGCCGCTTAACAGTATTCCAGTTATATCGCGGCGTGTCAGCTTAATATGGGAGGAAAGCCCGAAGTGATGCAGGTCTCAGACGTTCGGTAAAACACACGAGCACGGGTATGGTGCGGACAAACCTAGAAACATAATCGGGGCGAACCGGGATTCGAACCCACGATCATAAGTTTCTGGCGTGCCCCAGGGACGCAACTCTGCACAGCGAATCGCGGCGCCTTAGACGACTGGGCCACCCGTGCCCTCTGCATTAGAGTAACTGTTACAATGTTCAAAATAAAATACTCATAAATCCATGTGAGACTTTTCCGTTTTCTTATTTTACAGTATATAAGGGCGAGCAGTTGGGTGTGTCGACATGTATGCTTCATGCAGTGAAGTTGTCAGACTGTACATCACGCTCAGGTACTTGTACGACCCGCACCTAAATTGGGAGGAACATCAAGCAACAAGACGTCTGAACTGAACGATGATTTATTCGAAGCTGATCACGGGTTCATAGCCATGACGTCACTCCCGATGCTGGGGCACGTGACTTCTGGCGTAATAGCGGGTGCACATTCGCGCTCACAATATGTACAGAAACCTTACACAACACTTTTCATGGGCTACATTATATCTTGTATTTCACACGACTCCTTTGTGTGGAGTGCAGACTGTTAAGTTACCAGATGGACCATGGCTCCCCTGGGTATTGTAGTTATTCTTGCAGTTCATTCGTTCTCTCCCTGAGTGAAGTATATGCAGTACAGTGCAAGTAAGTCATGCTTGGCATAAGAGCTGTTTGTTTGTTTGTTTGTTTGTTGCTTAACGCCGCACTCAGCAATAATCCAGCTATATGACGACGGTTTGTAAATAATTTTGTCCGGACCAGATAATCCAGTGATGGATATCATGAGCATTTATCTACGCAATTGGGATACGATGACATGCATCAACCAAGTCAGCGAACCTGACCACCCGATCCCATAGTCGCCTATTACGACAAGCATTGTCGCCTTTTACGGAAAAACATGGATTGCCGAAGACCTATTCCAACCCGGCTCTTCACGGGTGGTTCTGGGAGCTGACAAATGAGGGTTGAGGGGGGATCATGTGTGACCTGGTTGTTTCCAGGTCACCATGACCCGACGGCGTTGTTCATGGCTCACACAATCACTTGAAACCAGTGGTTAGACCAACGCAGACGCAAATACCGCTATGACATAGTTGGGATGTGATTGACTGCGACGTAGAATATCATTCACTCGTACTCTCGTATACTTGTTCGGTTATTTAACTTTAAACAACACAAGAGCATTTCATGGTGGCCTTTTGTGAAAGGTATTTTGGACAAATCATCTCAGGCGCCGCATCTCACTTTTCAGATTCCTAAATCTGCCAATAACTGCTGGTGGTATGTTCGAATCTCGGACTGATCCCGATTATGATCCTTGGGCTGTTTGCACCATAGCTCTTCTCTTGGTTTTCAGTGTAACACAGTAATAGATACATTGATGCACAAATGCATTCGTGTGTGTTTGAGCTCTCAGCTACAGTCCAGGTATATGATGCTGACCTGTAAATAATCGAGTCTGGACCAGACAATCCAGTGATTGACATTATGAGCATCGATCTACGCAATTGGGATACGATGACATGCATCAACCAAGTCAGCGAACCTGATCACCCAATCCCGTTAGTCGCCTCTTACGACAAGCATAGTCACCTTTTACGGCGAGCATCTGTTGCTGAAGACCTATTCTACCCCGGATCTTAATGGGTGTAAGTGAGTGAGCTAGTTCAACGCCACCTTGAACAATATCACAATTATATCTCTCAGCGTTTCAACCTAAATCAGAGCAAAGCACGCAGTGACGCAATTCGTGGACTTTGACGATGTTGTTGGATGTTACACCGGGGTCCAACAAACCAACAATGTTAATCAGGATAAATCTGCGATTCGAACCCACGCCCGACAGGACATCGTGACAGGTGTAAGGTCACATCACTTCCTAGTTCAATGTCATCACATCACGCGCCTGCTGCTTTTGTGACATGCAGTTTGAGTATTTTTCAGTTTTTTATATATTTCTCAAATGGTCACACAGTGATTGATATTATCAGTAACGATCCAAGCCGTCAGGATCAGTTGTCACACCATCGACAAAGTACCATCTTTTAACGTCTTTTGGTATGGCGCGATCGGGGATCGAGCCCCGGACCTTCCGCTCTCCGGACGGACGCTCTACCACTATACCGCAGAGGTAGTAGTAACCTTCAGAGACTAAACCAAGAAAACGGTTTGGAACCTTCTCTTTTTCCCGTAGTGGTTTTTCCTGCTAATTTATATTTACACAGACTGATCTTCAAAACACAACACACATCGTCCCATTGTCCTATCCTTGACATTTCCGTCTTTCATCGTATTGATATTTATCAGCAAATAAACAAATAAGAATAATTACTAATTATGGACAAAAACAAACAAGACAGGAAAGTTTGTTTCCATACTTCTTTCAAGTAAGTCTTTCTCATGTTTGTCAAAAAAAATTAATCACATCTTTTGATCCCATTGAATGTGATATTATTCATATACGGATGCCTGCGGATGTCAAATAGCCCTGGCATATCGCCTGTGGGACAGATCATTTATAACTTAGGTTGAATAAAAGAAATTTATTTCCTCGTTTGACACGCTGGATGTGTTCATAGAATGCGTCGTTAGGGTCCCGTGAACATCCGGGTTAGAAAAGGTCTTCAGCAGCACATGCTTGCTGTTAGAGGCGACAATTACAAGAGCGTCAAGAGGGCGCATGGTGAATCAGTAAAGCTTTTTATGCTTTTCTTTCAGCTGTCGTATATGAAATAGAAAATATTTTTCTTAGTGTTTTGCTGAATGAGGTGAGGTGAAATGGGGTTTAACGTCGCGTTAAATACTATTGAAGATGCGGAGTAGAATATCTTCAGCAACCCTTGATTGCCGTACAAGACGACTACTGCAACAACACCTTTGTTTCCAGTTAGAGGCCACAGACCCATAGAACATAACATAACAGGAATACGATTACTGATAAAGTGACTTATACAATTTCATGGCATTCAATATGAATTTTGTACATGTGTAGGTTTGGGATTAGAAGACATCAGGCGAACAAAGGCCTCCAGTGACGGACTAACAAAGTATTTAAAATCAATGTATCGATATCTTAACTCATTAAATGCATGACATACAAGTGCAAAATGTAATACATTTTCCACTAGACTAATAATTAATCGAAGACAATATCTACACAAGCAACATTCTGGATCGATCGATTGCCCATTTCGATCATCAACCGATGACAGCCACATCTAAATCTTGACAGCGCTTGTTTCAATTGTGTAGAGTCGTAGAGTCGACTTGTGTAAGATACACTTCGTCTGTAAAACCGATTTGTAGGTTGAATTTGCCATAGCTTTGGCTTGGATGATATTGATGAATGCCATCGTTGGATGTTGTAACCGGTAACACGTTGCTTAAACTGAGACATAAAAAGATAAACATTTCTAACATCTGGCATAATCCAGGCGTAGTCAAAGCAAAAGTAAAAGGCGACAATGTCAATCACTGAATTGTCTAGTTCAGACTCGATTATTTACAGACCGCCGTCATATAGCTGGAATATTGCTTAGTGCGGCGTTAAACAACAAACCAACTAACCATAATTTAGATCTATAAAACAAACAAACAAACAAACAAACAAACAAACAAAAAAATATTGCACCACTACAGCGACGAGGAACGACCAGTGCTAGTTATAATTAGCCCTCCGGACGGGCCCCCTACCGCTAGACAACGGAGGCAGTCTTGGCTGGTTGGCTGGATGAAATGCGTTGTAACCTTCACTTGTAATGAAA